CACGGCCCCGTCGACCCCTAGCCCACGCCCTGGCCCGTCGACCCCCCCCACTTCGTGTTTGGCCCCTCGGCCCCTTGGCCCTTCGGCCCCGCCCCTAGGCCCCTCGGCACCTCGGCCCCTAGGCCCCACGCCCCTTGGCCCCTTGGCACCTCGGGCCCTTGGCCCCCCCCACTTCGTGTTTGGCCCCTCGGCCCCTAGGCCCCTCGGCCTCGCCACTAGACCCCTCGGCACCTCGGCCCCTAGGCCCCACGCCCCTCAGCCCCTTGGCACCTCGGCCCCTTGGCCCCCCCCCCACTTCGTGTTTGGCCCCTCGGCCCCGCCTCTCGGCCCCTTGGCCCCTCGACCCCTTGGCCCCCCCCCCCCCCCCCCCTCCATTTCGTGGTTGGCCCCTCGGCCCCTAGGCCCCTCGGCCCCGCCCCTAGGCCCCTCCGCCGCGCCCCTCGGCCCCTAGGCCCCTTCGTGTTTGGCCCCTCGGCCCCTAGGCCCCAGGCCTCTCTGCCTCTGCTGCTACTGCGGCTCCTGCTTACTGTGCCACTATGGCCTCGCTTCGAGTTCTCGCGTTCGACCATGAGGGTAGACCGGTGCAGTTCGACACGTGGCTCGACGACCTGCAGCTGTACCTACTGAGCGATATTAAGGACAGCGTTTCACTGTTTGACCACGTGTCCGGTGCCACTACTGCCCCTCCCGCCACAGCTGACAGTGCGACTCGCTCACAGTGGCTTTTTCGCGACGCAGCTGCCCGCCTAGCCATTCGCAACCACCTGCCGTTAGCCGAATGCGTTCACTTTGGACAGCACAGGACCGCACAGGCACTGTACGACGCCGTAGTCGCTCGCTACTCCTCCCCTGCCACTGCTGCTCTAGGCCGCCTGCTTCTGCCCTACCTGTTCCCCGAGCTGTCCGCCTTTGCTACAGTCGAGGACCTCGTTTCCCACCTGCGCGCTAGCGACGCTCGCTACCGCGCTGCCGCCCCCGCTGAGTTCCTTGATAGGAACCAGCCCTCAATGTTCATCACCCTCTACTTCATAGTCACTTGCCTCCCTGACTCTCTTCGCTCTGTCAGGGACCACTTTCTCTCTCTTGACCCCACCTCCCTCACTGTTGACCTCCTCGAGCAGCATCTCCTCGCCGCTGAGACTAGTGCGGTTGCTGTAGGTGCTGCTCGTGGCACTCCGCCCCCGCCCTTCTTTGAGAGGTGCTCCCCCTCCCCCCTTGCCCCTCCTATGCCTCAGCTCCTGCTGCAGACGTCTCTGTAGCTGAGGACGTCGGGGCTGCTTCTGCTAGTGCAAAGCGCCGCAGCAGCAAGGGCAAGGGTGGCAGGGGTGGTGGAGGTGGCAGCGGTGGTGGAGGAGGTGGCAGCGGGGGTAGTGGTGGGGGCAGTAGTGGGGGTGGTGGCGGCGGTGGGACTGGTGGAGGGAGTGGGGGTTCTGGTTGCGGCGGTGGAGGCAGCGGTGGGAGTGGCGGCAGTGGCGGCGGTGGGACTGGTGGTGGTGGGAATGGCGCTCGGTGTGTTGGTTCTGGAGGTGGCCAGCGTCAGCAGGAGCAGCGTCGCAGTGAGACCCAGTCGCCCCAGCAGCTTCATGAGTGGTTTTTGCAGCGTGGGGCGTCTGGGGGTAGTGGTAGCTGCCCATATGTCATTCGCACGGGTGACCGTGCTGGGCAGACTTGCGGGCGGCTCCACACTCAGCACCGCTGCTTCTCCCGCCTCGACGACGCTTGGCGTGCTGAGTTTGGTGATGACGCCGAGCTCCCTCGCTGGGCAGATCTACTTAGGTTTAGGATTGCTATCTTTGACCTAGACTTTGATGCTATTCTTTCTGCTATGTATGCTTTGTCTGTTAGTGCTGAGGGTGACTGTTACCGGTGTGTGCCGCTTGACCCAGGTATAGCTGCTGCTGCTCGAGGTGCTAGTGAGTCTGGTACTCTCCCCGGTACTGCGCCTGCTCAGGCCTTGCACACCTTCACGCTAGACTCAGGCGCCTCTGCTTGTTTCTTTCGTGACTGCACCACTCTCACTCCTCTCTCTGCACCTGTCCCGGTCCAACTGGCTGACCCCTCTGGGGGGCCGGTCGTGGCCCGTTCCTCCACTATCCTCCCGTTTCCGGCGGTTCCGTCCGGCTCACTGTCAGGTCTTCACCTCCCCTCGTTCTCTACGAACTTGGTGAGTACCGCTGCCCTCCAGGATGCGATGGTCACTACCACCACTCCAGGGGGTCAGCGTGTATCGATCTGCACGTGCACACGGATGGGGCGTCACCTGGCCACGTTCACTCGTCGGCCAGGGTCGAGTCTGTACACACTCGCTACCGAGCCTCCTCGGGTAGGTGCGTCTGCTCAGGTGTCCGCGTCAGGTCAGGTAGCCGCCTCTTGCTCGTGTCGCCTCCTGTCGCACCAGAATCTTCTGTGGCACCACCGCCTGGGTCACTCCTCCCTCCCACGCCTTCGTGACATGCACTCCCGTCTCCTTGTCTCTGGTCTCCCAAGGTCTCTGCCTCCCTTACCGTCCTCGCCTGCCCCGCCCTGCCTTCCTTGCGTCGAGGAGCGGCAGCGCGCCGCTCCTCACTCCTCCTCGTTTCCCCCGACGACAGCTCCCCTGCAGACTCACCACATGGACGTGTGGGTCCCAGCCCGCGTCAGTGGACAGGGCTGCGAGCGCTACTGGTAGTTGACGACTACACATGGTACACCACGGTCTTCCCCTTGCGCAGCAAGGGTGAGGTCTCTGATGTCTTGATCCCTTGGATCCGCACAGTCCGTCTCCAGCTACGCGAGTGGTTCGGCCAGGACCTTCCTCTCCTGCGTCTGCACTCTGACAGAGGTGGTGAGTTCTCCTCCGACCTCTTGCGAGACTTTTGTCGTGGGGAGGGCATTCTCCAGTCGTTCACGCTTCCGGACTCCCCTCAGCAAAATGGGATTGCTGAGCGCCGCATTGGCTTAGTCATGGAGGTCGCTCGTACCTCCATGATCCATGCGGCTGCTCCCCATTTTCTGTGGCCGTTTGCGGTCCGGTACGCTGCGCATCAGCTCAACCTTGTTAGAAGCCTAGCTAAGACTTAGTAGCCATGGCTAGGGTTTAGGGTATACGAAGGAGAAAATGGAAGAAGAGTGGGTTCACTAGCAAACCCTAATAGGGCTGTACTCATTATAGAGTACCCCACTGCAGACTAGAGAAACATAACATTCTGACAAACCTCTAGCCCCGTGTCTCCTTGCCGGAGACCTCGCCCACACTGCGTTGGACGGGGAAGGTTGGCGATGCATCGGTGTTCCGGGTCTGGGGTTCTCGTGCCTTTGTTCGCGATACGTCCGCGGACAAGCTCTCCCCCCGTGCCATCCCCTGCGTCTTCCTTGGATTTGTCCCTGACCCGCCTGGCTGGCAGTTTTACCACCCCACCTCGCGCCGTGTCTTCCCCTCTCAGGACGTCACGTTTGACGAGCCGGTTCCCTTCTACCGTCTCTTCCCCTACCGCTCTGCCCCTCCCTCGCCCCCGCCGCTCTTCCTTGCTCCCGGTCCTCCTCCGGTAGACCCCCTCCCGCCCCAGGGTCCTGCTCCCTCGGGTGTGTCTCAGGTAGACCCTCTCCCTGGACTGCGCCTGTTCAGATAGCTTTCGGCTCAGGTGCTGCTCCAGGTGCTGCGTCTGGGGGTGCTGCATCTGGGGGTGCGCAGCCAGGGGTTGCGGAGTCTGAGGGTGCTGGGTCTGGGGGTGCTGAGCCTGGGGGTGAGGAGCCTGGGGGTGCAGAGCCTGTGGGTGTGGAGACTAGGGGTGTTGAGCATGGGGGTGCTGAGTCGGAGGGTGCGGAGTCTGGGGGTGTTGAGCCTCGGGTTGCTGCTTCGTCTGGAGGTCCTGCTGGTGCTTCGTCGTGACTGTCTCCGCAGCAGCTGCGTGAGTGGTTTGTTCGGCGCGCATGCCTTCAGAGTGGAGCTACCGGAGGTGGAGGCGCTGGAGACGCTGGAGCTGGAGGTGCTGGAGTTACTGCTGGAGCTGGTGGTACTGGAGGTACTGCGGCTACTGGTCCTCGAGGTGCTTGTACCAAGGGTACTGGAGCTGCTGGGACTGGTGGTGTTGAGGGCGCTGGAGTTGGAGAACCTACAGAGCCTGGAGCTGCTGGAGCTGGAGGCACTAGCGTTGGTGGCGCTGGAGCTGGAGGCGCTGGAGCTGCAGGGTTTGGAGCTGTTGACCCTGGAGCTGGAGGTACTGGAGACACTGTGCGGCCGCGACCGTACTTCGTTCCCCTGCTTCAGCAGGTTCTTGGTGTCCCGTCTTCTACTGGCCTTACTCCTCCCCTCCTGTGTCCACCGCCTGACCAGTCGCAGCTGCCGTTGCAGCTGGCCTCTCCACTGCCTGCTCCCTCTCCTTACACTGAGCAGTCCGGCGGTCTTACAGAGCGTCGTGAGCCTGCGTCTCATCCTGTCTCGCTTGTTCGCACTGCTCGTCTCGTTCCTCGTTCGTGTCCTCCTCCTGTCCCCGGCACGCACGCTATGGCACTTCGTCCTTCCTCTGTTCCACTGCGTGTTCCTCTGCCTGCTCCTCCTGAGTCCTCTCTTCCTAAGGTCCCTGACCCTGAGTCTGACCGTGCTTGTGCTGCCAGTCCCACTGTCGCTCGTCTCCTCGCCACTGCTGTCACTGACCCTTCCTTTGAGTCTGCTGCTGCGTCAGCTCTCGTTGCTGAGCTGCTTGACTTTGCTGCTACCTGTCGTCTAGACTACGCCACTGCTCTTGTTGCTGAGTCTGCGTCTGCCAGTCCTCCGTCCGTCGGGGGTGAGTGTGCTCTTGGCACGGACGTCCTTGAGGACAGGCAGGAGGACTTTGAGTGTCTTGCAGCTGCTGTACCTCGTTTCGCTTCCATGCTGCTTGCCCTTGAGGGAGACTCAGATACACCATACATCCCGACCCCGCGCTCTTACGCTGAGGCGATTACAGGTCCTCACTCCTCTAGGTGGCAGGCAGCCATGGGTGCCGAGATGGCATCCTGGAAGTCCACAGGCACCTACGTCGATGAGGTTCCCCCACCTGGGGCGAACATAGTCGATGGCATGTGGATTTTCAGGGTGAAGCGGCCACCGGGTTCTCCGCCTGCCTTCAAGGCGCGTTACGTTGCTCGAGGCTTCAGTCAGCGACAGGGGGTTGACTACTTCCAGACCTTCTCCCCCACCCCGAAGATGACTACTCTTCGGGTGTTGCTGCACGTCGCTGCTCAGCGTGACTACGAGTTGCACTCTCTGGACTTCAGCACAGCTTTCCTGCAGGGCAGCCTGCACGAGGAGATCTGGCTGCGCCGCCCACCTGGTTTCACTGAGTCGTTTCCTGCAGATACTCAGTGGAGCCTCCGTCGGCCAGTCTACGGTCTCCGCCAGGCGCCTCGCGAGTGGCACGGACACACTGAGGACTACACTTGCGGCTCTTGGGTTTGGTCCTGCTACTGCTGACCCGTCGCTGTTTCTACGCACCGACACCTCGCTGCCGCCCTTCTACGTCCTCGTCTACGTCGACGACCCCCTTCCCTCCCCTCCCCCTCCCCCTCCCCCTCCCCCTCCCCCTCCCCCTCCCCCTCCCCCTGCCCCTCCCCCTCCCCTCCCCCTCCCCCTCCCCCTCCCCCTCGCCCTCGCCCTCGCCCTCCCCCTCCCCTTCCCCCTTCCCTCCCCTCCCCATCCCCTCCCCCTCCTCCTCCCCCTCCCCCTCCCCCTCCCTCTTCCCTCCCCTCCCCATCTCCTCCCCCTCCCCCTCCCCCTCCCCCCCCCCCCTCCCCCTCCCCCTTCCCCTGCCCTTCCCCTCCCCTTCCCCTCCCCTTCTTTCTCCCCCTCCATGCTGCCACAGGTTCACGAGCGAGGAGGCGTTCTCCTTCCGCTTGAGGCAGCGCTGCCCCGCCTGCCTGTTCGTGCTCGACACACAGGACCTGCACTTCCTTAGGGTGGGTGCCAAGGGGTGACATGGGGTGCCAAGGGGTGACATGGGGTGGCATGGGGTGACATGGGGTGGCATGGGGTGGCATGGGGTGGCATGGGGTGGCATGGGGTGGCATGGGGTGGCATGGGGTGGCATGGGGTGGCATGGGGTGGCATGGGGTGGGTGGCACACAGGACCTGGTCTTCCTCAAGGTGGGTGACATGGCGTGACATGGCGTGGCATAGCAAGATGCCTCTGTCCCCATCCCCACCGTTTGCATCGCATCTGTCTCGCTCGCTCGCCTCATCCCATCCCACCCCATCCCATCCCACCCATCCGATCCCACCCCACCCATCCCATCCCACCCCATCCCATCCCATCTCATCCCCTCTCCTCCCCGGGCAGGCAGGCGGGGCGGCAGCAGGTGGTATCTGAGGGGGGTTCCATCAGGGACGCGCTACACCACGTACCCTTTACAGGCAGCAGGGAGCTGCTGCACGAGCTCGCATCCATGCACCGCTGCGACCTCACGCTGGTCCGTGCCCTCTCTCTGCCTGCACGCACTCCCACCATCTGCCCCAAACCTCTGCCCCAAAACCTTTGCCCCCACCCCCTGCCCCCACCCTCTGCCCCCACCCTCTGAATTCACTCCAGCGTTCTTTTTGTTTGTTTGTTGTCTGGCCATGCTGTTCAATTGTTTGTATTGCAGACTTGTACTTCGTGGTTTGTATCCCTGTCCTCCCGTTCATTATGCAGACCCACACATGCTCCCTGCTCACTGTTCCTCACCCACCTTCCCAACCCCCCCTTTCTCCCGCCCTCCCTCCCTCCCCCTCTCTGCTCTCCCTCGCCCCCATCAGATGTGTTCACAGGCGGAGCTCGCTCTCCTCACGCGCTGCTACGCCTTCCCCCCCCACAAGCTTGCCCTCGCCTCCTTCTTCTATGATGCTTCCCAGGCAGAGAGAGGTGAGGCAGAGAGAGGTGAGGCAGAGAGAGGTGAGGCAGAGAGAGGTGAGGCAGAGAGAGGTGAGGTAGAGAGAGGTGAGGCAGAGAGAGGTGAGGCAGAGAAAGGTGAGGCAGTGGGAGGTGGGGCCGTGGGAGGTGAGGCAGTGGGAGGTGAGGCAGTGGGAGGTGAGGCAGTGGGAGGTGGGGCAGTGGGAGGTGGGGCAGTGAGGGTGTAGGGGTTGTCAGCAATGGAAGTGACGCTCGCGGCGTGCAGGAGAAGTGAGAACAGGCTCACCGCTCCACCAGTCTCAAGAATTCTCAAAAACCACCGCTCTTCACACCTTAGAACCTGCTGTTGCAGGAGTTGCCTCTAATGCCACGTGGTCTCTCAGACCAAAGCGCCCAAAAGGATCACTGGCAGGCATTGCCTTGTCATTCGCTCCATCCCCTTGGTACTATCTTTCCCTTTCCCCTCCCCACCCCCTGTTTCCGCAACTGTCCTTCCGCCTCCTGCCTTTCCCCGTCGCCACCGCTTGCACCCATCCTCCCATCTCTTCCCCATTGTGTGCCACCCGTTCCTCCCCCGCCCCACCCCGCCCCATCTCAACCCCACCACCCCCCTTGCTCTACCCCCCCCCACCCCATGATATTCGCAGCTACCAATGGCAGAGTGCCACGTGTACGGATCCTACGTCACAGCAACCATCTCGTCCCTGCACGACCCCTCATCTGGCTTCATCATTCGTGGCCACGCCCCCTCCCTTGACATGCTCGCCTCCTACCGTGGTCAGCAACACCTCCCCCCTTTCCCTTCCTCCCCATCCCTCTGTTACCGCTTTGCACCCATCCATATCTCACCGTTCTCAGCTCAGCTCTTCAGCCACCTGCAGTTCATATTCCCATTTTTCCTCCCTCTCTCCTCCCTCTCCCCTCCCCTCCCCTCCCCTCCCATCCCCTCCGCCTTCCCCTCTCCTCTCTCCACCTCCCCTCCCCTCCCCACTCCACCCGTCTCCTCCCCTTCCCTCCCCTCTTCCACCTGTCCTCTCCCTTCATCCGCACTCCCCTGCCCCTGGCAGTGCTGCTGGCACCGCTGCGCTACGGGGCGGGCATCAAGGGCAAATTCCTCGACAGCTGGCGCCACGGCACTCCCGTCGTCACCACCCCCATTGGCGCCGAGGGCATGGGCTGCAGAGGGAGAGGGGAGGAGGGGGAAGAACCAGGGGAGGGGGACACGGGGGTGGCAGAGGGGCAGGGAGAGGGAGGTGCGGGAGAGCAGTGGGGGGGGCTGTTGTTATGTGATGCTATCATTTGCATTCACGTCTGTCTGCCTCCCATCATATGTTCGTGTGTTGCATGCGTGGTGTGAGCGTGTGTAAGAATGTGTGTTTGGTGTTGTTTTGGTTTTTCTGAGTGTGTGTGGATGTTATTTGGCTTGAGCAGATATCTGAAGTGACTCCTCCGACGAACCAAGTATCGCTTCAATCGGAGCACGAACAAGAAAGTTACGAACGTTGGAAGTTCGTATGCTTTTGATATTTGGTTGTGGTGACTATGGGAAGTTGTGGTGTTGACTCCATAAGGAATACAGACTCTTGGGGGTTGGGAAATTCGTCAACATCACTGTAGATGCTGCCAAGTGGTTGGGAGGTGCCAAACCAGGTTGGCAAGTGTGGCCAAGTTGGGTGAGGTGGATGGCATGAGTTGGGAAAGTGACAAATGTCAAAGTTGGGGTGCCTATAGAGAGGGGAATTGTGTGGTATGGGGTGTCCTTGGTTGGGGACTCCCTTGGGACCTTCCCTCTCGTCCTCCTCATCCCCTCCTACCTGGTTCTATTGCTACTCTAACTTTCTTGTGTGAACTTGTGAGATCATTGTGATTGAGTTACGTTTTCTATGGCAGCATACCCCCTAGTGCGCCGAAGTTCATAACTCGAGTTATACTCCATATTCTGATACTATTCAAATTGGGAAAGATAGCCACGGTCAAGGGCTACAACATACTCGAGTTTGAAAGAATTCTAACAGTGGACCTTTTGTCGACGACGTTTCTTGTGACGACGACTTTTCTGTCCAGAATTGTAGTTGACGATTTTGAGATATTTCAGCCCCTAATCTTCATAGACTCCGTCCTTAATCTCTAACAGCTGTGGGGGCCGGGGGATGCAGAGGCGTTTGCAGCAGATGCAGTGCGGCTGTACAGCGATCCTCACCTGTGGGCCTCGTGCCAATCCACGGTGCACCACCTGCCCTCTCTGCCTTCCGTGCCCACCCCTCCTGCTGCACTGCCTGCATTGCACTGCCTCCCTTGCACTGCCTCCCTTGCACTGCCTCCCTTGCACTGCCTCCCTTGCACTGCCTCCCTGCATCCCTTGCACTGCGTGCCTTGCATTCCCTCTTCCTGCACTCACCACTCTCTCCCCTGACCTCACTACCCCACAGAGCTGAGTGGCCCCCATCCATCCCCCAGCTCCCTGCCCACCTCTTGCCTGTCTGTCCTCTTGTTTCTGTTCCCGCTGGGACCTTCCAATGCTCTTGATGCGATTGCTCTAGGCTGTGGTTCGGACCTTCCAGTGCTGTTCTTTTTCCATGCGTTCACAACATTGTCAATGGCTGTCCCTCAGGCTTTCACAAATGTGCCTCCCCTCCCACAGGGCCGCACCATCCTCCAGCAGCAGTTTGGCATGCTCACAAACGGGCCTGCGCTGCTTGCCGCTGTTTCTGCTGCCAAGTCAAGCATGCACGATAATAGAATGCGTGACTATACTGGGGTGAGTGCAAATCTGAATGTTTTTTCATGTTGACCAATCACAGGTTATGGTAGCAAACCAGTTGACGTCCCCCTCCCCCTTCATTCCCTCTCTTACACACTAGCACATGATTCATGAAATTGGTGTACAAGTTGAGAACAGCTCGCATTTCTGTGGATTCTTGCAACCACCAAAACTTGCCATATTATTCACAGGATGCTGTTCTGTTTGACACTTATTTTCCTTGCCAATCTGCATTTGCAGGCCATGTTGTGGCATGACAGCAACAGGGCGACCGAGTACTTCTCGCAATGGATCGAGCTCAAAGAAATGGGTGCAAGATCACCACAATGAATCCGCTAGGCCGCTTGCTCGTAGTTGCCGTGGATTCGGAAAGCCCTGCATGACAAAGAGTCATGGCAACACCTAGCGCTATTATTTAGTAAATAGATGGCTGCGGTAATGTTTGTATGCATCAGCTCGGCTAAATCCCCACAGAAGTAAGATGATGTAGAACATATGTTTCACTGCTACTGTTGTAATGGCAATGTGAACATTTGGACTACATGAGCAGCCTAGGGTTCATCCACACATCCGACTTGATGGCACCCAGTTATCACTTCATGCCAGCAAGTTCGAGTGCTCTGGCGAACATAGTCGATGGCATGTGGATTTTCAGGGTGAAGCGGCCACCGGGTTCTCCGCCTGCCTTCAAGGCGCGTTACGTTGCTCGAGGCTTCAGTCAGCGACAGGGGGTTGACTACCTCCAGACCTTCTCCCCCACCCCGAAGATGACTACTCTTCGGGTGTTGCTGCACGTCGCTGCTCAGCGTGACTACGAGTTGCAGTCTCTGGACTTCAGCACAGCTTTCCTGCAGGGCAGCCTGCACGAGGAGATCTGGTTGCGCCGCCCACCTGGTTTCACTGAGTCGTTTCCTGCAGATACTCAGTGGAGCCTCCGCCGGCCAGTCTACGGTCTCCGCCAGGCGCCTCGCGAGTGGCACGACACACTAAGGACTACACATGCGGCTCTTGGGTTTGGTCCTGCTACTGCTGACCCATCGCTGTTTCTACGCACCGACACCTCGCTGCCGCCCCTCTACGTTCTCGTCTACGTCGACGACCTCGTCTTTGCCACTGCTGACACTGAGGCACTGACCCTTGTGAAGCCGGAGATGCAGAAGAGACACACCTGCACTGACCTGGGTGAACTGCGCAGCTATCTTGGCTTGCAGATCACCCGGGACAGAGCACGGCGCACCATCACCCTCACTCAGTCACACATGGTGCACCAGGTCCTTCAGCGCTTCGGCTTCCAGTTCTCCTCACCACAGCCCACTCCTCTGTCTACCAGCCACTCGCTCTCAGCTCCACCTTCGGACGAGTCCATAGAGACGAGTGGTCCGTACCCAGAGCTTGTGGGTTGCCTCATGTATCTGATGACGTGCACACGACCTGACCTCGCGTACCCTCTCGGCCTTCTGGCTCGCTACGTGGCTCCCGGTAGGCGCCGAAAGGTGCACTGGGATGCTGCGAAGAGGGTACTGCGCTACTTGTGCAGTACGTCAGGCATGGGGCTCGTGCTTGGAGGACGGGGTCCAATTGTCCTCACCGGTCACGCAGACGCTTCCTGGGTTGACGACTCAGCTACGCAGTGGTCGTCACAGGGTTATGTTAAGCTCTTAGGCAAAGGATGATCGACTATCGAGAGTGTTGGTACAAAATGAAAACCTAAGGGGTTGTACCCCACAGTGAGTACCCCACTAAAGCCTACCTAAACTATAACATATAAACATATGTTTGACAGGTTACACCTTCAGCCTTGGTTCCGGCTCTGTTTCCTGGCGGTCTACCCGCTCGTCTTCGGTTCTCAGCTCCAGTTGTGAGGCTGAGATCTACGCCGGGGCCATGGCTGCACAGGAGCTACGCTGGCTCACCTACCTGCTGACCGACTTGGGAGAGCAGCCTCGTTTGCCTCCAGTTCTGTACATAGACAACAAGGCCATGATTGCCTTGTGTCAGGAGCACAGACTGGAGCACAGAACGAAGCACATCGCTCTGCGATACTTCCTTGCTCGAGAGTTGGAGCAGCGTGGCCAGCTTCGTCTTGCGTACGTGGCCACTAGGGCCAACACTGCTGATATATTCACCAAGGCACTTCCGCCTGGTGATTATCAGCGCTTCTCTACTGTGTTAGGCCTTGTGCCTACTTTGCCTCAATTGCTTACTGCGTGACTTTCCTTGTACTGTGATCTATATATATACCTGCATGCTTGCACTTGCTAGGGTATGATTACTGTATTGTTTGTTCTCATTTATATAACTCTGCATGTGAACTGGCCTTGTGGCCCTTTGCTTGTGCTCAGACTGTGTGGTGACTTTGTGATCCACCCTGAGCTTGCTTTGTTTTTCTTGACTGGTGTTGTGACCACTTGTTCTCCCCCACTTTGCCTATGGGGGTGTGTCAAAATGTTGTATAGCTTATATTGTGTAGGCTATAGTGGGGTAGCCCATAAGGGGTACAACCCAATTAGGGTTAGTACTTATACCCAACTCTTTGCTAGTTCATTCATTCTCGTTCATTCTCTTGACAGATCATAGGGAAGGGTTACAGGCTCGTTGTCTTGGGGGGTTATGGGCGCACTGACCCGCTACTTAACAAGCCCTTTGATCCCAGTGGTTTAGTGACTGCGATTCTGACATGCTATCAGAGCGAAGGTCTCGGGTTCGAATCCCAGTGTGTGCACTTCGGCCATCCTAGTGCGGGGGGGTGTCAAAGGTCCACTGGTGATCCCCGATTGATCCTAGGGAAGGGTTACAGGCTCATTGTCCTGGGGGGGGTCATGGGCGCACAAACCCGCTACACAAACAAGCCCTTTTATCCCAATGGTCTAAGTGGTTGGGATTCTGACAAAAAAGTCGGTAGTGCGCAATTCTGATTCCTGGCGCTAAAAATGTTCGCCTCGATTGGAATGGTACGACTTGATAAAACAACTGAACGAGAATGATAGGATTGAACAGAAAGTTGGGTACAAATACTAACCCTAATTGGGTACCCCACGCCACACTCATGTGACAGGCCAACATTCGAGAGCGACATCACATGCTAGGGTACTGATACGATTTATTATGCTGCCACCTCCTATTGGAGGGTACAAGTGCGGTAATGTTGGGCATCAGTCACAACAAGTCGTGCTGTAACTGTTACATCTTCCTCAAAAGGTAACCCTGCCATGCTACATTCATGCTTTTTTCAGATTCAGGTGGCTTGATACCCCTGAGCATTTCTAACATGCCTCAGCCTTTATTCACACCTCTCCTCTCCTGTGGCCGTTTGTTGATGGCAGGAAGTTCACTCACCACTTTCGCCAGAACTTCCTGCGAAAGCACCTGCCTCAGCCTTTATTCACACCTCTCCTCTCCTGTGGCCGTGTGTTGATGGCAGGAAGTTCACTCACCACTTTCGCCAGAACTTCCTGCGAAAGCACCTGGAAATTGGAGACAGTCAGCCGCTGCTCTGTCAGGATTTTAAGCAGCAGCAGCGTGCGGATGGCGTGGGATCAGCTGCTCTCACGTTTGGAGGGCTGTCGTTGGACGAGTGCATGATGGCGTTCTTCTCCCCCAATGCACGCTGCAGTCAACCACCTGCCCCACCCAACTTCTCACCTGCTGCCACCCCTCCTCCTGCTTCCCATGCTCCTCTTTTTTATTTCCAAGCCGCCACCTTCTCTGCCGCTGCTGCGGCAGCGGCTGCTGCTGCAGCTGCATCTACCACCGAGTTCCCATTCGGCCATGGTGCCTTCCCCATTGCCCATGCCTCCATCGCCGCTGCTCTGCATCGTCCGTTGAAGCGACCACGGGCCGACTGCCCCGGCTTGGGGGCAGAGCAGCCGCTGCTTGGTGAACGCGAGAGCCCGTTGGTGCCACGCGGGGTGGTGCGATGGGGGGTGGCGTGTAGTATGGAGCGCCGGCGTCAGTCAGTGGCAGAGCAGTTCCAGCAGCAGGGGGCGAGCAGCGGCATGCAGGAAGAGGAAGGAGGCCTTCTGGATGCTCTGCTGCAAGAGGATCATCGCCAGCAGCAGCCGAGAGGAGTGGCGAGCAGGGCGCAGCGAATGTTGTGGCCGCGTGCTGGGTCGGAGAGCGCCCTTCCAGACGACGTGCTGCTGGGATTCTGGAGCAAGAACCCTGCCCTCACGAAACGTTCTTCTATGTCTGCTCCTCTGCCCACCCAGCCACACACAGCGCGGCCAGTGCCAATGCCCTCCCTCCTCGCTACTCTGCCTGGTTCCTCTGCCTGCATTGGAAAGTCCACCTCTTGCTTGGAAAGTCCACCTCTTGCATTGGGGATTTCGCAGTGCAACCAGTGGACTGGCCTCGCGTTGGATCGGAGAGTGCCCTTCCAGACGACGTGCTGCTGGGACTCTGCTGCGAGGGCTCTGGTTTCATGCAGTGCTCTTCTCTCGCAGCTCCTCTACCCACCCAGCCACACGCAGCACTGCCAGCGCCGATGCCCTCCCAAGTCGCTGCTCTGCGTGACCCTGCTCCCCCCCGGGACATGAGGAGCTGCATTACAGTGACTGGGAGTGCGTGTGCCACACAGGAACAAGAATACCTGGATGCGTGCGTTGATGTGCTCAGAAGTGGAAGCAACACCGGCAACACCGACAACAACAACGACGAGGCTCTCTTTCTCGACACGCCCTTGGCTCACGTGCTGCTTGGTGGGCGTGCCGTTACTGTGCCCTTGAATTGTGCGCCTCAGCAACAGGCGCTGGCAGCCCTTGGTGCTGCTGGGGCAGCCGTGCCGGAGTGGGTGGTGGAGCAGGGAGGGGTCGGGGAGGGAGGTGCTCAGCTGCACAGGCAGCAGCACGTTCTCACCCCGGAGGCCACATTTGCTCAGTGGAAGGGTTTTCAGCACCTATAGCTTGAGCGCATGTTCTGGCTGCCTCCTCATCAGCCACAGCGCCAATCTCTCCCACAGCCACCCCCACAGGCACTACCGCAAACGCCTTTGCTGTCAGCCCCTTCTCAGCAGCCAATGGCGCATGGCACCACCAGTGCACTAAACACACCCTCGAACCCAAGGGGTTCACACATGCAAGCTCTTATACAGCCGCGCCCGGCCATGCTGCAGCAGCCCTTCTCCTCTGGTTCTTTACCAGCTCTATGCCCACCCCGTGCTACCTCCTAGGCCCGACATGGCTGTTACTTCGGGACGGGATGGTGCTGCTCTAAATCCCATGGGCTCAGCTAATATGTGCTCGGCTCAACTAATCTGTTCAAGGAACAACTCACTCGAGACTAACGAGGATGGGGTTATGATTGACCATTGGTCTCCATTAAACTTTCGACTGACATGCAACCATTCTCTTGCACGGGATGCCTTCAGCCTTCATCCAAACACACACACGTGAAACACACACGTGACACACACACACACACACACACCCACACCCACACCCACACCCACACACACACCCACACACACACCCACCCACACACACACACACACACACACACACACACACACACACACATACACATAGATTACACAGACCTTTGCGAAAGGTTATGTTGCCTTGTTTATGGCACTAAAGTTGCCAAGTGATGTTTATATGAAAGCTTGTTATTTTTTGCCTTGTCTGTTAGTTTAGCCTGATATCTCCTCTATGAACCTCGTATCCGCGTTACAGTCATCGCTTGAAGGTAGCTCCACGGGATGCAGATCCGCCACCCTCCTTTGTGATGAACCAGGGAGGAGGTGGCAGCCAGGGCTCTTGCTAGGATTTAGGCCCGTCTGAAAAAAAAAAAAAAAAAAAATGAAAAGGTTTGGGTACGAAATATAATCCTTCGTCTTATGGATCAGATGAAATAAATTTGATGGTCTTGAAAATCATATGAAATGAAAAAATAGGTCTTAATTTCAGACCATCAGACCGATTTGGTCTGATAACCAGAGCCCTGCTGGCAGCCGGACAAACCAAGAATAGTACGATCGTTGATATTTAGCAATCACAAACGGACAACATTCGCGCACCCTCCATCAGGCCCTTGCGGCTCAATCATTCCAGTGTATGGCGATCAGCGATCGTGTACACATGGTGCCTCCGATACGTGAAGTAGGCGATACCTCAGCTCACTTACCGCTTTAAAGCTCGCGTCTCATTTTTTTCTCCGTTTTACACTTGGTTGGGTTTAACACTTGGTTGGGTTCCGTGACTGGTTGACGAATGACAAAATATGTGACGAGCTGGGGTGCGTTTCTGGCGGAACCAATCACGGACGTGCATTCCCAACCAAGTATTAAACGCATGTAAATATGAGACGCGAGTTTTAATATAACGCCATTTATTACCGATGGTGTCGCTGTTCGCAGCTCCGCTTTTCGCTGCATCAGTTCTTGCGCACTCCGCATCATCACATCCCTATCCTTGTCCGGACACAATACCCGTTGCGCTACGAAGAACCGCAGTGAATACGACCGTTACAATCTGGGTCACTATCACCCAGCCTGGAGGCGAGCTCGTGGCGATCTGTACGGACTCGCACACTGGTGAGCACCTCGCCACGTTCATTCGGAGGCCTCGGTCTGGCCTATACACACTGACCACTGAGTCTACACTGGTAGCTGAGTCAGGTCAGGTAGCTGCGTCGGTTGAGGTCGCTGCGTCTTGCTCGTGTCGTCTCCTCACGCACCAGACTCTCCTCTGGCACCACCGTCTTGGCCACCCCTCCTTGCCACGCCTTCGTGGCATGCACTCCTGTCTCCTTGTCTCTGGCCTTCCCAGGTCCCTGCCCCTGCTCCCGAGGTCGATTGCGCCGCCGTGCCTTCCCTGCGTCGACGGGCGGCAGCGCGCCGCTCCTCACTCCTCCTCGTTTCCTCCGACCACAGCTCCTCTGCAGACCCTCCACATGGACGTGTGGGGTCCAGCCCGAGTCTCAGGACAGGGCGGAGAGCGCTAATTCTTGCTGGTTGTAGACGACTACACGCGCTACACCACAGTCTTCCCCTTGCAGAGTAAGGTGGAGGTCCGCAGTGTTCTGATCCGCTGGATCCGTGCTGTCCGTCGCCAGCTCAGTGCTCGATTTCAGCAGGACCTCTCGGTCTTGCGACTGCACTCTGACCGAGGTGGTGAGTTTTCCTCCGGCCTCCTCGAGGACTTCTGTGGTGTTGAGGGCATCCGCCAGACGTTCACGCTTCCGGCCTCTCCACAGCAGAATGCGATTGCAGAGCGCCGCATTGGCTTGGTGATGGAGGTTGCTCGCACCTCCATCGTCCATGCAGCTGCTCCCCATTTTCTGTGGCCGTTTGCGGTCCGATACACTACTGAGCAACTCAAACTCTGGCCAAATGTCTCCCACCCGGAGACCTCTCCCACTCTGCGGTGGACGGGCGAGGTTGGTGATGCGTCATCGTATCGGGTCTGGGGTGCCCTTTTGCTTGTTCGCGACCCCCCCGTGGGGAAGCTCTCTCCCTGCACTCTTCGCTGCGTCTTCCTTGGCTTCCCTACCGACGCCCTAGGCTGGCGGTTTTACCACACGGGTTCTCGTCGTGTTCTCTCCTCCCAGGACGTCACCTTTGACGAATCTATCTGCTTCTACCGCCTCCACCCTCACCGGAGTTCCCCCGTGCCCCTCCCGCCTCTCGCACTGGTCTGGGACCCCCCACCAGTAGCCCCACTCCCCCCGCAGGGTCCTGCTCCCTCAGGTGTGTCTCTGGTTGACCCGTCCCCTTGGTTGAGCCAGTCAAGGTCTCCTCTGACACCTCTGGCCCAGCTGAGGGGGGTGACCCGACTCCTGCTACCACCGTGACCCCTCGCCGCTCTGCGCGCTGGCGGTCCCTCCTGGGTTTCCGCCTCGACATTCTTCACCGCCGTTGCAGCCTGTCGCTGTGGACTTTGGTGCTGCAGGAGGCGGCACCACTGGGGGTGCTGGTTCTAGGGGTGCTGAGTGTCCTCTGGGTACAGGAGGTACTGGAGGCACTGGTGCTGGTGATCCTGGTACGAGTCGGCAGGAGGCTCTCTCGCCGGAGTGGCTTCGCGAGTGGGTTGTCTAGTGGGGCAGCCCTGGTGGTGGAGCTAGCCGTCTTCGAGCAGGAGGTGCTGGCACTGGTAGAGCTTTCCATGCTCGTACTACTAGAGCTGGAGGTGCTGGGACTCCTGGTGCTGCTGGAGGTACTGGAGGTGCTGCTGCTGTGGGTGCTTCTGCAGGTAGTCCTGGCTCACGTCGCAAGGAGTCTCTCTCGCCGGAGCGGCTTCACGAGTGGGCTGTCCATTGGGGCAGTCCTAGTGGTGGCGCTGGACGTGTTGGAGCTGCAGGTTCTGGAGGTCCTGGCCCTGGAGTGCTAGTGCTGGTGTTCCTGGTACTGGAGGCACAGGTGCTGCTGCAGGTACTGGAGGAGCAGGTGCTGTTGGAGGTACTGGAGGTGCAGGCCCTGGAGGTGCTAGTGCTGGTGTTCCTGGAGTTGGCCGTGCTGGAGGTACTGGTACTGGAGGCGGTGCTGACACTGGAGGTACTACTGGAGGTACTATTGGAGGTACTGGAGTTAGTGGTGCGAGTCGGCAGGAGTAGCTCTCACCGCTGCAGCTTTGCGAGTGGGCTGTCTATTGGGGCAGTCCCGGTGGTGGAGCTGGAGGTACTGGTTCTGGGGGTGCTGTTGCTACTAGGGCTGGAGGTTCTGGGGGTGCGACTACTCAGCCGCAGCCGTCTGTGCTTCGTCACCTTCTCAATCTCCCGCCTGCTGCTACTGAGTTCCCGGTTGCTGGTACTACTCCTCCGTTACTGTTCCCACCGACTGACCAGTCTCAGCCACAGCTACTGCCTGGCTCCCCGCTGCCTGCTCTTGCTCCTCACAATGAGGTGAGTGCGTCCCTGACTGCGCGTCGTGAGCCTGAGACTCGTGCTTCCACTCCTGAGCGTCGAGAGCCTGAGACTAGAGCTTCTGTCCCTACTCGTGTTCGTCGTGTTCGTCGTCCTCGTGCTCCGGCTGTACCACGTACTCACGATATGACACTCCGTCCTTCCTCTGTTCCACAGCGTGTTGTCCTGCCGTCGCCTCCCGCGTCCTCTCTTCCGCACATTCTTGACCCTGAGTCTGACCTTATCCGTGCCGCCAGTCCGACTGTCACTTGTCTCCTTGCCACAGTTGTGACTGACCCTTCCTTTGAGTCTGCCGCTGCATCTGCCTTAGTTGATGAGCTTGTTGACTTTGACGCTTTGTGCCGCCTTGACTACGCTGCGAGTCTTGTTTTTAATCTTCCTGTCCTCCATCCGTCGGGGGTGAGCTTGCCCTTGGCTGTGACGTCCTTGAGGACAGGCAGTTTGGGCTGGAGTGTCTAGCGGCCGCTGCACCTCATCTCGCGTCCACGCTACTTTGCCCTGAGGGAGACCCGGATGCACTAGACATCCCGACCCCGCGCACTTACGCAGAGGCGATCACGGGTCCATACTCCTCTCAGTGGCAGATAACCATGGACGCCAAGATGGCATCATGGAAGTCCACAGGCACCTATGTCGACGAGGTTCCCCCACCTGGGGCGAACATAGTCGATGGCATGTGGATTTTCAGGGTGAAGCGGCCGTCAGGTTCTCCGCCTGCCTTCAAGGCGCGTTACGTCGCACGAGGCTTCAGTCAGCGTGAGGGGGTCGACTTCTTTCAGACCTTCTCCCCCACCCCAAAGATGACCACTCTTCGGGTGCTACTATACGTTGCAGCACAGCGTGACTACGAGCTGCACTCCCTCAACTTCTCGACAGCCTTCTTGCAGGGCAGCCTTCACGAGGCTATCTGGTTGTGCCGTCCACGTGGCTTCACTGGGTCGTTTCCTGAGGGTACCCAGTGGAGTCTTCGGCGACCAGTCTACGGCGACCAGTCTACGGCCTACGACAGGCGCCCCGCGAGTGGCACAACACACTTGCGGCTCT